AAGATGTTGCGCTATACCTACAAATTGTACTGGTGTTCATTTCAGTTTTTTATAAAGATTCGCTTTTACTGGTAATGATATCATCGTGTGTATAATTAATAATCTAGACCTTTTCTGGGTTTAGTGGTAAATGCAATTATTTAAAAATGGCTCGAGTAAAATGGTATTACAAACTTTCTATTTGAACATTATAATTATATAAACTTGTTTTTAATGGACAAAATGGAAAGAGGCATACATAATATAGTAACATGCGCAAATTTCGATGATTTGAATGCTTGTTCGTTTTCAACTTATAAGGAATAAAACGAACCGTATGCATACTGTAGACATGCTACATGCATGGCTACATCAGGATATAAAATTTTGCAGCCCACCCAAATGTTGCTACCTTCCATGATTCTACTTTGTCGGAGCTACGAGCTATGAACGAGCCACATAAGTTACACAAACGAGATGTCATGCACTTTGTAAGTTGCTATGCCTTCAGTAAAGGAAAACATAGGCGTGCTAAACTTTCGTCTACCTGATTTCTCCTGGAAGTCTCATCATTTAGGAAAGTACTTAGTCAGTCTGATCTTGGAATTCAACTGCCTTTTGGTTTCAGTTTACCGCTGTCTGCCTTCTTGTAGCCAGATGCTCCCGTGAAACGACATAGCTCTAGATAAACACACTTCAGTGAAGTTACGGGATAGATGTTAAATAAGTTACCTATGTTTTGAAAGTTCTGACCCGGCCTCAGCTCCCCTTTCGTGTTCGTTGTCTGATGTAGAAGGCTATCTGAGTTTCTGATGACTAGTCAATATTTACCGAAAGCCATTGTGACCATGACACTAACTATATTCGATGTCGAAATCAATTTGCCGTAAAAATACGTTTTCATTATTTGTGCATGGGACGATCAGTGCCCTGAACAAACGAAGCTGATTGTTGCAAGGATCCTATTCTAAGGACTTCGAGGTGCCACCTAACATTTAGAGAGCATGACTCTGGCCAACAGTCGACATTTTGGGAGAGGATGGAGAAACATTTTAAGGCGGGAGCCCGCACCACGGTAGATCGGCTGTTTGAAAATGTAGAAACATTCTACTCTGTGATATGACAAACTGATGGACTATGTTACCTCAGGCTATCGCCGAAAGTGAACAGAGAAATAGAGGTCCGACAGCTGCATATACTCACCGCACAATTTTTTTACATATGCGAGCTGGTGACTAAGGGGCAAGATGCAACGATTAGGTGGAGAGAATGTCTGGCATAGAATAGACGTGACGAAGTATGATGACTCTATCTTACGCCATGTTTTGTTTGCAATGGTCATGATATATATCGCAATATATGCAATGTGGATTACATGAATTTTAAGCTTTGTTCCTGTCCTTTATATAAAATAGAGTATTTGCAGATCTTATTTCATTGTGAATTTTCGCCTGTTTTTAGATGCTTGCACGCACTAAGGTCCAACGCTACTGTATGCGGTCATGTCCGCCATATCGAGGAAACGATATGAGATGTCTACAGCTAATACACTACAACGAGGGGTTTGTGCACTCACGAACACGGATAACGTCGAGAACGATAGAGCCAACTAGAAAAAACAAAAAAAGTAAGAACATTTAAATTAAACTGAAATAAATCCATTGTTAACTTCTCGATCGTCGTCGTCCACAGTATAAGCATTAGCACTCGTTCCGATTCACTGGCCATCGGACCCCGTCTCTCAAAGGCGAAGTGGCTAGGCCGGGTGAACTCGCGCTATCGTAATCCTTTCGATAGACGAGATCATATCATCTCATCATTGCTGTTGATGATTATTCTTTGGCCGTTTCTGTCCGCTTTGCATCAACGGAACAAGCAGATGGATCTTTTCGTTATCCCACACGTTCTGCCTATGGCATTGTGCCGTTTCACTTTACCTCCCCACCTAGTGTCCTTCCCGAGAAACTGCTTCCTCCCTTAGGAGGATCAAACACTCGTTCTCGTCCGTGAAACGAAGCCAATATTATCATCTGTCTTTCCGTCCCGCTTTTTTGGCACTCCGACTGTCTAAATTTTATAGAGTTGGCCCTCACGGCATCGTTCCGCATCGTCTATACAATCTCATAAGCAGGAGTTATCAGCGTACCGGCGTTCCGTGTTGCTCGTGCCTGCTTTCCGAATGTGTGTTGTCGTTCACTGTCGCAAATTGAACTGTGTTTGTCGCAGCTCTGTTGTGAAGCGGTGACGGTGACGGCTCTTACCATTAGGCGACCATTGTTCTGCGTGACCAAATAAATGAAAAGTTGTCCGAGGGCTTCCAAACCGATATTCCCTTGAAATCAGCTAGCGAATGAAATCGTTAGGCAAGTCCGTCGACTTGTTCGTTCTTGTCATCGTCGCCCACGTTCTGTTTGTTGCTGCTCTATCTTGATGTTGTCGTGTTCCATCTATAGCCTTCCTAACGTCGTCACTTTTAAAGTCCGTTAACCGCTTCCAAGAGCCGATCCCTACTTGTGCTCCTTGACCTTTGTTTTATCTCTTAATCCCTCTTGGCATGAAATCTTAGTACATTGCCATTACCTTTCTTGGTATTAACATATCTTACGAGGCTGTTCTCTTTGCTAGTTCATTGTTTTTTTTTTTTTTTTACAACGGTGTCTTTGTGCGGAATTTACCAATGATTCCGTCTAGTTTGCTTTTTTCGTGCAAAGCCATCTTACGTCGGCATTTTCAACGATCATACCTGCAAATGTTACTGAAGCCTCTTCTGCTAAGACTTGCAGCTCCAATCTAGTTATGTTCAGCAATCGTCCGACTAACACAACGGCGAAACGTTACGATGGCAATACGATGTGGCGCGCAGACGTGCGTATGTACAACAAACAGTACTTGTCTCATTTCGATAGCTATCGTTTTGAACCTTGCAGGGCACATAGCTTCACCTTATCCCTGAAGAAAAAACTTAGATTGGCCTTAGGAGGAAATGTTCAGGTGTGCAAGAACTCCTGTACATGTAGTCTGCACGGGCAGGACAGCCCAGACAACCAACTACAGCGATGCTAAAGTCGACATCAGTGGGACGCTTTTTTTCTGTCAGGGCTCTAAACAGACACACGCGCTTACTTACCGACAGGGTTTTAACCTGTGACGGCTACGTGGGTGTGTTATACTTCATCCGTTCATTCCGCAAAAGAAGCATAGGACAAGATAAGGCGGCGATGGCAGCAGGGTAAAGGACAGGAAAAGTGAACGAATTCGAGCATCCAAACAAGCAGGAAGGTACGTCGAAAAGCCATGCACTGGATCTAGCAAGCAAGTTTTCTTTAAGTATGCATGGACCCAGATCCCTTACCCTAAAAAAAGTTTGGATGCCTTTCGAAAAGTGCAACCCTCTTTCTTCTTTCGCAGCCACCGTCGTTATAGACGCCTTTACCGTCGTTCTCATCGTCGTTGCTGTCGATCGCGTAAAGCTTTGCTTCTCCTTTCAGCCCACAAACGTTCCCCGTCTCCTCTCGAATGTAGCACAGACTTCGGAAGCTGCGACGTTCCCCCCTCTCTTTCTCTCTTGGCTGACTCTCGCTTTAAAGCAAATCTAGTGAGTCGTTCCTACCGCTGCACACGCCGCCGCGGTCGCTCGGGCCGTCGGATTAGCTTGTTTTGCATAAAACCTCCTCAATCTAGAACCTCCACGCCCGGCACCCGTTGCTTGCGTCGGCCTGGCACATACATGAAGCCCCAGTTCGGCCCGCCTCCTGCTCCTACTCCATCCTCCTGCCAGCCGAATACAGTCCGATCGCCCCTTAAATGAATATCCAACAGCTTCAGGTGGGGCACATAGAGGTTACTCCCCTAGGAAATTTTCGGCCTCATGAGATACGCGCTAGAACAAGTGGATAGCCTATTGCAAAAGATGAGTGATCTCAGGCATGGAGGGCAAGGCGCGTCAAAGAGTGGTCCAGACAGCCAGAGAACCATCGAATGAAAGACGCTTTTTTGCGCCGAGGGCGGAAAATGCAACCGATCTCTCGGCAAACAAAATACAATGTTTCCACAATACCTTACTGGCCTGCATAGCTAAATAAGCTAGGACTGATGGAGCTCTCTATGGTCGGAGTTCGCACTGGAGCGTTGATTGGGGCATAATGCCCCGCCCATGTTGACATGGCCCAGCAACGGCTTTAACGGAACTTGAAATATAATACCTAAATTCTCCCTAGAGATGTTTTTATAAGTCGTTCTTTTTCGGAGCTGGATAAGCATATTTGGCCCAAGACAGTCTTCGATACTTAAGCATTTTGAATATAATATTACAGAAAAGGACTAGGATGCTGTGACAGAAGAGATTGGTAGATGGAAGCTCTGATTCCTCAAAAAAGAACGTCTCTCCTTTACGGTCATTTCTAGTTTTCGTTAATCTTGCTGATCTACTTTTGCCCATGTAAAATCTGTTTGTTAATACCTTTTGTTTGTTAATAGGTAGACAATCAGCTCAACTTGTTGACGTCCGTATATCTACATACTGCAGTGGCATATTACTGCGCTTACCTATCACACGTTGAATAGAAACTAAGTTTTTTTTTTTCAAATCACATCTAATTATCTTCGAAGTGTATTTCCAGTTAATTTACTTTGCTGATTTCGATGTTATTTCTCGTTGTGACCCGACAGCATAAATTGAAGTAATCTATTATTCAGGCCTATTTTAGGCCGAAAGTTTTTTTGACGTCATGCTATTCAGTTGTGGAATGAAGTCAAACATTGCGAATCTATACTGAGTAGAATGTGTTACGGTCGTTTAGTCGCAATAAGGCTATAATTAATCCACTGGTAGACGCTGGTACAGAGCTTAGCACGTTAAAACGAAGATCATTTGGTCAACATTTAGATGATGGCCAAAAGGCGCGGCCACGTATCAAAAAAATCGAATGTGATTTCAGAAAATCAAATAATACCCACCGCAGTACCAATCCAAATTTGGATACGCTTGAGTTGATAGAAATACAGAATTTCTACTGACTTACAGAGTTACTGGTGTCGAAATGTTGTTCATTGTTGTTGTGCGCATTTTCTGGAAACTTCCATGTCATTTTCGGCTGGTTCAGTAGACGGCTACAGAAGCTCGCCGCAAAGGCCGGTAGAGTATTAATGTTTGTGAAAAGCATGAAAATATTGTATCAGTCTCACCTCGTGCCTTTAGATTGTCAGGTTAGTACCTTAAAGAAACACGCAATAGGGATACAAAAATTTATATACTGTATTCAGAATTTGAACGCCTTTTATGTTTCGCGCTACCGTCTAGAAGCGATCGATCGTGAGGTCTTCAATATTCAAATGGGACGTGGGAGCGTCGCTATTCTACACAAAGCTGTGCCTACGGAGGTGCAAAAAAGAATGTATACAACTTTCAAATCCGATTTCGTATCTAATTAAGCGGACTGTTAAATCTATAATAATACAAATGCGTTAAGGGTTATTATGTCCCAGAAAGTCACCTGTTAAATGGGAGAATGGTAGAAGTTTGAAAGCGCTTTCTTCTGCGCGTTTTTTGTGCCAGTACCATTTGCTAAGGCTGTCAAGAGGATTCGTCGTATTCTACGGGTAGCACAGTGTTAGAAAAGTCTCGGGCCCTCATCACGAATCCCATCTTCGTTCTTAATCAACTTAGTTTTCAACAAGTAAAGGTTTCTCTCCGTCTGCTTTGCCCTACGATAGTCTCTGTTCGTCTGCTAAGCAGACTTATTTACGAACGTATTTATAGCGCACAATATTGTCCACTGGCGTCCTGTGGCAGCTACCGTTGTTTACCAAGATCTGATTATATATACACGGGAAATAGGTAAATAGTGTCACTAACTTTTCTCATTCTAATAATAGCAATAACAATAAACATAGACGTGTGTGCCGATTATCACGGTAATAAAGAGAGCCGTTGAACGTTTATAACGTAGGCGAATCTAGCGTACCATTTCTTCGTCGAGAAACAGTTTCTATTATTGTTTGACTGGAGATAATAATCAGGTTCGTTATACTAGTTCTTGTATGTATTAGGGAGAAAAAGTCAATTGTTTTAACGATAACATTTTTCCTCGGCAGAGTTATCGAACTGTGCTGGAAAACTGCAAGGCCCGTTCCATGTCGATCAATATTTCAAATTTTAGATTATATATAGCTTATCTTTTTATTGACACACACTGCCTTTCCGTGGTAAATTTTTCCTATATTTTCTAAAAATGAACTTTTAATTTAAAGTCTGTTTCAAGAGCGTTTGGTTCGCTTTCGATCATGAATAGATAAAACATCACATCTCTATGGTATTCTTATTAACAAATGAGTACTAACCCTGCCACTGCCGATCGATTTAATCATTTTAGCGCAGTAGGGGTCGGTAGGTTTCGTATCGAAGATCGCTTCGCTCGTTTTGGAAGGCAGGCACCAAGACCAGACCGCCTCATTTTTCCATCAAAGCTTCTTCAATTTTCGCGTATTATCGCAACGCTTTGTCATCAAGACTTCGGTGAGCTTCGGTTAGACGTAGGCACCAAGTTCTTGTGACAGATCTCGATTAAAATTTGATTTAGTCGATATACGGTGAACTTCTACTCGCCAGTAGCAGCGGCGGCGGTAGCTGTGGCTATTTGATCGAAAGTGAACAGTTCTCCAGTTGCTATTTTTACTTTGGACGTGTGTGTGCGCGTGTCAGCGTTTGTGTTTGTCTAGGGGTCCCCCGCCTATTTTGTGTTTACAATGCGGAATAACCACGAGTAAAGACGACGTGCACCGATGTGGGAATGCTGCCGTGAGCCCTCATCATCATTACGATCATCATCATCATCATTATTGCCACCAGCATCGTTAAAATCAACGTCGCCGTTGGAGTGACGGATCAAATTTAAATGCTTGTATAGCAGCACATATTATATCCAATCAGATTTTTGATGGCGGCAAACTTGTGAATACTAATTAAATATAGAAGGATGTTTATACGTCTTCTTTTCGCTTGCAGCGCCTCGTTTTCCACAGATCGTCTTCGCTGCCCGCACGCGCTCGCTCTATTGGAATATTTAAAGTACAGGTACCCTATACGCGTGGTTAAATTGCTACACACTTTCTAACTGTTGACCGACCGACGGTAGCGGCTGTCGTAATGCTAGCAAGAACGGTAAGAGGAAGGGGTAGAGTCCACGAACACAGCAATATTAGAAAACAACGTCTAGGGGCACGACCCTTTCTTCTGTGCTATTGCGCACAGAAAAAGCAGAACATCAGAAAGAAATTGGCGTAGAATCTAACTTTGGTATCAAACTTTGGGATCGAACCTTTTAATCTTGCTTAATTTGCCTATAGCAGCCACCTGCCTGCCTGCCGCTGGTCGGCGTGGCCTGTTGCTTTTGCCTACGTTTTCATCGACTGTTGTTAATTGCTACCTCTGGTGATGTTGCGTTCGCTATGAAGCACGTTGTCGTCGTCGTCGTCGTCGCGGATTTCCGCCTTAATAGAAATAGACCGCGAAATTTCAAAAGGCAAATGAAAAACTAGACGATGAAACCGAATTGTGGCTATATCGCTGACAATGGCATTGCATGCCGTTTGAAGCTGATGAAATGCTTAGCCTGGGGACTTCCGGAAAGCAGTTTTCACTGCCTTCACTCGAACTCCTTTCGGATATCACGCACACAGCCATAGCGACCCGAGTTTGTTAACGGCGTCAAGCGACTGAGCGAGACGTCTACCTGTTTTTCTGCTTATACCTGTCATCGCATACAAATGAAATAATAAAACAAAAGCCAAAAAAGCGCAAAGCGAGATGGGCCTTTAACCCAAGGCAGCGATGGTGGTAACACGATGAATCGAAGTCGAGCTCGCGATGAAGCCACTAGTTAAATGAGGTCCATAGAGTAATAAAGAAAAAAAAAATATCGCGGATCAATTGACAGGCCCGAATAGAAAGCTGGTGATGCTGATCATGCCGACGAGGACCAAAAAGGAAAGAAAGAAGAATAACTGCTACTGGCCAAAGTTGTTGTTGTTGTTGTTGGCGCTTATTGAGCCTACAAAAAGAAAAAGCGGTGATAATGTTGAGGCAGCGAGAAAAACTGCATCTTCCAACGGAAAAAAGCGTCGTCAAAGGATTATGCAACCAGACAGCAACGAATAGTAGACATCATGGTAGGTCGATAATGACTTCGATTTACTAAAGTTCAACCCGGCAAAAGATCAGAAGCAGCGATCTGAACACCGCAAACACGTCACGATCATTAAAACGACAGTAATAGCTGCTATACAATGACTTCTAACCGCTATCTGAAACTGGTTTTGTTAATGTCCAATAGGTTGTTTAACCAGCTCGAGCATGAAACACATGTGTACACAGCACAGAGCATGTATACATGCTCAAGCTGATTTGTTCAATCGAACAGCTTCTACGGGAGGTAATAATAGGTCTGCGGGTAGCATTGACCATAGCGTCTCTACCAGCTTACTGCTTTACCCTAATCTCAGGCGTGTGCGGTGAAGACTCCATATTGGACGCGAACAGATGACGATCAATCGAACTGTTTGTGTCCGCGCAATAGAGACTAACATCAGCAGCAGTGGCGCACATGGCAAAGGGGGTGGCGACCCCCATGTTGATAAAATTTATGGGAATTACATTCATATACTATAAACGGGCTATGCGGAGCCACGTGTTGCTACGGCCGCTGGCATCAGCCGTGCGCTACTTGAACTACTGGAGAGGAAAGCAAAGCGACAAACGCTAGCGTGTGAAGAAGAAACGACGAGGTAGATTGGTGGTAAGGATAAATAAAGAGAAGGCCCTAAAAACGCAGAGACAACACGATAAGTCGGCGAAAAGGACAATGAACAAGGAGATGATGGTATTAATGGTGACGCTGCTGGTGGTAATTGTGCGGGTTATGTATTTTCTTTTAGTTCATTTTCTTCAGCCCATGCAGTTTGTTGGCAATATTGCTACTGATGTTGCATATCCGTTGGTTTATCTCGCGCTTCACTGGTCTTCCGTTGATAGGAACAACCATGTGGTCTCTAATACGGTCTAGATATTTTGCACCGTTACGTTTATTTCAGATATGCCGCTTTGACGCATCATGGGAGCGGCAACGCAGCTAGTTGCGCGACGTGCATATAAAGATGAGATATTTTGTCGGCGTTTTGCGCGGCTTCGTCCTACAGTCATCGAGCTATCTGTCCCTCAGGACCTAATGACGAAGACTTAATTCTATCCGCAATCTTACCGCGTTACGTTGGTGTTACTATTGCTGTTATTGTGGCTCGAACGTTCGTACGAAGAAGTGGTGTCTTTTGTGGTACCAATAGTCAGCGATTGATGTTACCGTCGGTATTATCGTTGTTGCTACTGCTGTAGCCTTTCCACATCGTTTTCATCGTTGTTTTCGTTTAGTGCTTGCATAGTTTTCTATAGAAGAACGACAACAACGAACAAATGACAAAACGGAAAGGTGACAAGGCGATGCCAACGTTTGCGGTTTGCCGATGATCAATCAAATGTGTCAGCCAAGCCGGTCTAGTCTACCATAGTTATCATCGTTCGCACCTACTCCAGTTATCTCCATCAAAAGCTAACAGCAATTTCACTTCGATATAGCTTCTTCACCTTAATCGCTGCTTTTTGTAATACGTGCTCCGTCTGTCCAACTATCCTTCAGAGCCAAGGCTATCATAGGGACGCTCCACGCACACCCACCGCGACCACCACAGCGGACCGCAGCACTGTCGTGTGGCGTCGACGGCAAGGGCGACAAATAGGCAGAATAACAATTTGCGACGACATCTGGTAGGGCCAGCTGCGAGTCGTACTCAATATCTGTTGTCCTGTGGTTCATTATAAGGACACACACACACATACACATGTACGTATATATATATACAGAGCTGTATGTATGATGCATGTGTCCTATGGGTGTATGTGAAATTGTCTCCGTATGGTAGTATGTACTCATTAATGCTTATTTCTGAAGTCGACGAATCATCCGTTTCGGCCAAAGTGTCGAAATTCTTAACGTCGGTCCGGTGCTGGGCAAGCACACTGGGCCATTATGGAAAACATGTAGCTCGCGTTCAACCGCCGCTAGCCGTGACAAAATGGATACGAGAAGATTGCTTTGCCAGTATACGTATGTATACATACATAGGATCGTAGGAGCGAACTGTCGCGCGTCGCTGCAACTGTCCTAATGGTTTGCTAACACAAAGGCCAGAGCATTGAGAAATCACAGTTTCTCTAAAAATCAGGTTCGTACACACGAAATAAATCTAATTTGAACGAAATAATTCATTTCAGCTTCGGGTGATACACTCCGATACATTCCCATTTGTTTCTCTATCAGGTTCTTCGATTATCTCACCTGCTAGAGGACGCACACAATTTTGAATCGTGTTTTAATCGGATTATTCAAACTGTAGGAACAATTCGTGAAAGTACGATGTTGGGGTCATCAATGTTTTAACGGACTTCGAAGTGCCCTGGTCTTATCTACTTGTTACTGTTATTTATGCATCTCGATAAGAATGTTACTATAGATACGCATACGACGCTCATCAAGAGCCTCACCTCAGCTGTGCGGAGCGAAAT